TGCTCTTCAGCCACGAGTACGGGAACAGGGCGGCACTTCTGATCTACCCTTATGTACCGCCTTTGTGACCCCTGCTTGAGCCCACCCCTAAAAAAGGTCAGGTTGCGCTTTGGGGTTGTGCTCCAATCGTTCCACCTATCCTTCCCGGCGTTCGATATACCAATTTCATTTCTCATTCTCCCATCTATTCCACCACCTTTTCTCTCAAGGCTTCCACAACTTCTGGGTCCGCCATCCCATAGGTCGACATTATGTCCATAGCATCACCTATACTTGCTAGGCTAAGGGTCAGTGCCTCTGRACAATCTTTCCTCTTCGAACTTACTGCCTTTCAGTCTCACCCTCTCCTCTTTTGATTCTTCTATAGTGAAAGAACCAGGGTTGGGCCGGTTTCTTATACTACTAGGCCCTGTATTCTTGCAAGTGACAACCTCATAATTGTCACATACTGGATCGCACAAAACGAGGAACATAGTCCCGTCATGCTTGTTAAGTTTGACGGTCTCTGTTCGACTTAAGAACGATCTACCTAGTAGAATGGGGTGGTCAAGATCAGGCATTACAAAAAAACAACTCCTTACTTTCACGTTCTCAATTTCCAGAACTACCGATGATGAGGTCCCTATAAATACTGACCGGGTGTTCGCCCCCATCAAGACCCCATTGTCAGAGCAATCTATCTCCATCCCTAAACACACAGCATGTTCCTCTTTTATGAGGTTCATCTTTGCGCCACTGTCCACCATAGCTGTGCGAGTTCCTTCTTTACCACCACATCTATGCACCCATATGCGACAGACTTCCAGTCCATCTTTGTACCAACCTCTGCCCATTCCRCCTCTTTAGGGATTATGATCCCTAGTCGCACACTGACCACCATCTTTCTAGATAATCGCGCTTTTAGCTCATCCCTGAGCCTTGYCGCCGAAGCTAGGACGTCCTTCAGGTTCATAAGGTGATAAAGGCCTCAAGGATCTTGTCCATTATCTCCTCCACGTCAAATCCTTCCTCCACTCAGACAGCGTACTTCTTTTTCTTTCCTTCCGAGACCTTGTTCGTATCAGGTTTGGCGCCTCTCTTTTTGATCCTTTGCTCAACCTTCTCGTCCTCTTCTTTTCTCAATCTGTCATCCTCATCCTCCTCTTCCCCTTGAACATCTACAACCTTTTTCTCCCTACTAGGCTCAGAAACATCCTTTGCTGGCTCCTCGGGGCTCACCGGCCCTCCTGACCCTTGTCCTCACGGCATGCGGTACTCTCCCGATCTGGAGGGTGACCTATAAGCCATGCCGAACCGAGACGTCGGTCCTGAAATCGTAACGCCTGGTAAGTTTTCAGATCCACCTTGCGACATTGGACCCATATCGTAGAGGTACACCAGTGACTCCTTGCCTTTCCACTCCTTGACCTCTTCACACATATCGGCCAGTTTCTGCTGGTACCTCCCGACTTTGGCCACTAAGTTCTCCATCCTTTCCATCGTTTGTCAGACCTTCCTCCAACAATTTTCCCCTATCTTCACTTTTCGTGGCTCATTCCAACAATCCTCCTCTATTCATCATCGGACTCCACCACGATTGGCTCTTCCTTGATGGTGTCGACGTTTCTCCCTTGCTCTACCTCCTCACTCTCTCCTACTTCTTCCACCCTTATGTCACTAAGGACCTCCTTTTCTTGCCAAATTTGGCATACCGGCCTCAGCTMGCCGTAGGGCTTCCTTCCTGGTTCCGCCAGGGGTCTTTGGGTCAATGTAGTACCCAAATTTGTCATACATGTCCCCATCATAATTGGTACTGATTAAACCTTCATCTTCGTCGTTCCTTTGAACATGGTAAAATTTGATGGTGTGACTTTTCTGTCCGCAATGCCAACAAATGACATTCCTCCAATCTATCCTTCCTCTACCAAAGCGTCTTCCACCTTCTTGACTACCCTGACTTCCTGGCGCATTCCRATCCCCATCGCCTCCACCTGTGGAATTACCACCACCATTTCCCCTTTTATTCCCTCCGCGACCACCATTTCCTCGCCCTCGCCCCCATCCTCGATTTTATCCACGTCTGCCGCCTTGGTTTCCTTGCGATCCTTATGGGGCCGATTGTTGAGGTTGGCTTGGCCGCGGGCTCGGGTGGCTTACTTGTTGAGACTGAGGCCCTGGACACCCGCAGGAAGCCGTGCTCAATGACGCTCTTGCGCATG